CCTAACTATTCTACAATTCTACGATTCTGCTTTCTCCAGTATGTCACCTTCAGCTGAATAGTCCCAGCTTCAGACAGTCAGCTGGTGTAGGAATAAAACCTCCACTATCAAAACCATGCAGTTTACTCAGCAACATATTCAAATTCCTGTGGCGCTAATGAAATGAGAATTGTGGAGGAGGGAAAACAAGAGATGAGGTAGGAGAAATGGAGATTCCTGAAACTACTTAAAAAAAAATAAAAACTAAAAGGAGCAAGAGGAGCTTATTTCACAGTCCTACCTGACTCTGCCCCTCCTGCTTTCTCTCGTGTCCCCTCTTTATTTCCTGCTGAACAACTTGCAGGATAGTTTTCAGGGTTTTGCTTGAACTACCTCAGTCAGAAGCTGCTTCATGTTTCCAGCTGCTCCTTTTAGAGCAAGTTCTCCAAAAATGACTCATTATGTCTCAATTGCAGGTGCGAAACGTCCCCAAACACAAATGGTGGTGACGTTAGGGTTGAATTTCTTAACAATAAATCCAGTAAAGGTCATTATAGCTCTGTAGTAAAAAAAAACAACTTAGATATGTTTGTAATAATAAAGCTAATCTGCTATTTTTTAATTGATATAATGATCATTATTTTATAGATTAAACATTTGGAGCTGTTACCTAAAATTCAGTTAATAATATGCCACAATTCTCTGCTGTATTATCCCTACCAAAAATTATTGAAAAAATATCGAATAACAAGATGCACTAAATTTTAAGTTATGATATATATATGTGACACACCGATTTTCACATCTCTTTTATTAAAATTGTTTTATTTCAAGAGTCCAGCCTTCCACTGTCAACCAGTTCAGTAGCATGTCCTGTGCCTTAAAAAGCTGCTTGCAAAAGAATAATCTATAGATTCATATGCATATATGGCTGTTTAAAACCTCTGATTTTAAGAAAACAGTGTGATCTGAACAACAGCTGGAATCCTCTGTTACTTATCAGAAATTAGAGCAGTCATCTATAAATTACTGCCTTGGCTAATACATTCATACTTTTGAGTAATTTTTCACTTCCTCACCTCTCCTTTAGTAACAACCCTGTATTAAATCCCAGCTCAAGAAAGGCAACAGGAGAATTCCCATGGACTTCAACAAAATCAGGTTTTCTCTCTGTTTTTCTTCTTGATTTAACTGAGTGGCCATGGAAATCTTTGGCTGACAGATTTATTTAGAAACAGTGAGACACCTGAATTTTAAATCTTTCCTTCAGCCTTTTACTTGAGTGTGTGCTTTGGGAATACATTTAGATAATTTTTATATTTCAGTGTAAATCCCGAGGTAAAATGTCACTACTAAACCAACATTTACCAATTTTTCATTTAATGGATTTGGGTTGAAGTGTTGAGCCTGACAGGAAAAAATAAAAGCTAGGTTTCTTACTGAGCCCTGATGACATAGGTACATCTGGGCAATGGAAAGCAGTAGATCACCTCTCCAAGTCCCTGTCAGCCCTATGATACTTTGATTTAACTAGTTTGGTTTTAAATTCAATCAGACAGATTGGTGGCTATGAAAGATCAGAAAATAAAAAGAACATGCCACAGGAAAAAGATGCGATACACTTGTTTAAATCCATTGGCTACAAGAAGCAAATAACCAGATTTATTTAGGCTCACCATGAACAGGTTTTCAGTTCCCAAATAAGATACTGAGCTCAATCTTAAGATGCTCTCTTTGATGTAAATCTCATGCTGAGGTTCTTTCTCCATATAATGATGAGGAAGCACATAAGAGCTACTAACAAAAGGGCAAATGTAGTTGTGACCTGGGAATGGGTTTTCAACCTGCCAGAATTGTTTGGGATTAGTAAAACAGTCATCTTCCTCTGCTTGCAGTCTGGTTGTCCTTCTTTCAAGTGATTTCTGAAGACTTCAAATAACAAATCAATTTAAAAAGAGAAAAGGCTTTGTGCAGTAACAGAAAACAAATCTTTTCTACCTTTCAATAAGTCTTTAAAGTTCTTGGGCATAGAAAGAATCTCAAAAAGCTACTTAAAGCTTGTGATTTACATGTGCTGTGGCTCTAATTGGTTCTTTTGATTTTAAGGCTTGCCCCAACTCCTACAGCAGCAAATGGGAATCATTGCAGTAACTTCAGGGCCTGACACATCTGCCCCTCAAGCTGCTCTTCAGGGACACCCACTCTTGTTTCTTTGACTTCTTGTTTATTAATTAAAAAATACACAAAAGGTAACATATATATATATATAAAAAAAAAAAGAAAAAGAGAAGAAAGAAATCCTTCTAACAAATGAAGCAACCAACCTTGTCTGCTTGGTTTAATTTAAAACACTAATTTAAGAACAGTTTATTGCCCTCTGGATGGGTATAATGTCAATCCAAGGAAAGACTGATGCAGTTTTTTCAACGGATGAAAACAAGCAACAACAGAGGCAGAGGACAAGGTAAAACTTAGTAGCTCATGATGGTAAAGGGCCTAGTTGTGTTCCAATACAAAGCTTTAAATAGTGGCTCTAATATTTGTGACAGTATTTATATCTTAGAAACCTACTGAATGTGGGTGACATATTTGAAAATCTTTGCTCAAGGAGCCACTGACTTTCCCAAAATAGTGGCTCTAGAATGTCCATCAAGACTGCATAGACAGCTATAGCAGCTTGCAGACCTGTTACAGCTTTTTGAGGGATGTGAGGGAGAAAAGGGAGACCACTTTCTTGCCTTTTGCAATATGGCATTTAATTCTTCTGAGTATTCTGTTATCTGTCTCAAACAGACACCCAAGAAAGACTTTGATTTTTCTTATGAGCAGAAAAATTATTCTATCTTAACAGGGCCATATGGATTTGCCCCCTGTGTGACTTGCTCCCAGGGCTCAAAGAAGATGTAAACCTAGTCCACAACTAGTTATGAAGATGGGCAGAGGAGATTGAGTCAAGGTAATACTTTGGTCATTTCCAGGGGAGAATTCAGCCCCATTCAGTGGTAGCCACATGTCTCTCAGAGCAAAATAAAAGTGAAGAAACAAAAAGCAAAGAAAGAGAAACTCTGGGATTTCTTTTGGAACTGCTAAATTAACATGCTGCTTTGTTTCTCAGTTTATTGCTGCTCTCCCTTTCCCTCTTCACTCAAACTAACCATCAGCTTGACCAAAGAAAACTGCTTATATGCCCCAAATAAAGAGGTAAAAGCAGGAAATCATGTAGTGAGAAAGAGATTGACACTTCCCTTCTGTCACCCTGGGAATCCACAGGTCAGAACCAGTGTATCTAGCACAGAACACTGATCTATTAAAAAAAAAAAAAAAGAAAAAAAAAAAGTGTGATAAAACCCTTTGTAACCCTTCATTAGTTAAATTTGGTTTGATCCCTGACCTCTGTGGCATCACCCCACAAAGGTGAGTGTGGATGGCACAAGAGTAGGAGGACGTGGGAAGAAGTTGGCTCCCATCACCAGCAGTGACACAGCCCTTGTGAGATACAGCCCTGAGGGTACTCTGCCTGTGATAACCAGAGAAGAGTACAAATGAGAGTTTGGGGAAAGAGACAGCGTTTGTAGGGATATTACATATGTCAGAATAGTTGAAATCTCTTTCAAATCTAAATTCCCCATTTTCACATCTTCAAGGATATCCCCAAACCTTTTTTGTTTTCTTCCACTCTTATTAAGTAAATATCTCAGTGGTACCTTCTGACAAAGAGTTTTACTTAAAAATTCTGTTGTAATGTGAAACATTGTCTGGTATAATTTGAAGAACTTGTGTTGCTTTTCAATCTACCCAGAGCAACTGTATGCATTGCTCTCTGAAAGCTGAGATCTTATTCACTAATATTATTTTATATTTAGGGGTCTATGAGGCAAGTTTTTAACCTGTGGGTTTAATGGTTTCATTAGGTCAGTACTTCTTTTTGCTACCTTTTTGTTAAGTGTCATTGTCAAAAAAAAAAAAGAAAAAGAAAAGAAAAAAAAAAAGAAAAGCTGTTTTGGAGAAACAAACTTTTACAAGGTGTCTAGTTTGTATATTCATCCGCCAAAGGCAGCCTGCTACTTTCCCTGTCATCCAAACAGAACCAAATTTATACACACTTCAGACTTCACTCACGAGTTCTTTGTTCAATAAGAACAGGTGGGGGGAAATAGTTCTGTTGCTGTGTTCCCGAGGGAATCCCGCTAAATTAAAGCACATTTTAATCTCTTGAGCCGGCAGCTTTATTAGTAAGCGTTTCTCAATCTTCAGGGAAATCTAATTTCACAAATAGATCAGAGCCACTTCAAACGCAGCTTTCAGTTGCCATCCACCGGGGGACAAACGGGGAGGAGGAAGTTTGTCAGAAAAGACCATCTCTGAGCCCAAGAGTGATTACCAGAGGTGTCTCCATCGACAGCCACCCACCTCAGGTCGATAGTACTCAAATGAGTACGCCGGTGGGGACTATATAAGAGAAGCGCATGGCCCTGGAGGGCGCATCCCCCCTCTCCGGGCGAAGCACCGACCGCCCCGCGCCGCTTCGCGCCCGGCGGAGCCTCCGCGGGGACACGGGCTCTCCGGAGGCGGCAAAGGACATCTCTTTCCTGGAGGACATCTCCTCAACGAGGCTTGTCTCCGCTTGAAGGTAAACAGCCGGCTCTTACAGGGGCCTTCAGCATGCAGCATATCCCAGGTCGTTCCCCGGCTAGTGCCCGGGTTTGCCGTGCGCCGCAACGCAGTGCCGGTAGGAGGGAGGGATGGAGAACGTTGAGCCGTCGGGGAGAGCCGGCTCCCTCGCGGCTCCGATTAACTCTTTCGCCCAAGAGGATTTGCAAGGGAGGCCAAGTATAAAACAGTTTGTAAATAACATATTTTCCTCCCTCCCTCTTAATCCCAACCGTTTGCTATAATTAGAATAGCTTACTTAGGGGCATTAAGCACCGCTCTCGAAGCCTCAGCTTGTTGTAGTTGTTTTTGCCCTTTACATCCTGATTTGCAGCAGTTCCCGATGGAACTCGCCCCTGGCTGAACTCTGTCCGGATGCCCTTCCCTACGCTCTCGCCCGAGAGCCGCTGCGGGGCGGGCGGATGGCGGGACGGCCCGCGGGGGTCCGCCGGCGGAGGAAGGAGGCAACGGGAGGCGCGGGAACGCCAGGGGCAAAGGGAGCCGAGCAAATCCCCCGCAAAGCCCGGGACCGCAAATATGTGTGGCGGGTTTAATACCCTTCCCCTAATCCGTGTCTATACATGCACCCTCCGGGGAGCCGGGCGAGCGCGGCGGGGCTGCTCTGGGGCTGGCGGGGAGGCGCGGCGGGGCCGGTCGGTGGCGGCCCGTCGGGTCTCCACTGGGCTGCCCCCGGGCCGGGCGTGCGGGTGCGCACCGCCTCCGTAGGGGTGCCCTGGGGCGCGGCATGGGGGGCGGGCGGGCGCGCTGCGGGCCGGGCCCGGCGCTGACCGCCTTCGCTCTCTGCCTCCTCCCAGCGCCGCAGAGATGCGAGGGGCGAAGAAGCGCCAGGCGCTGCCCGCCATCCTGCTCCTGCTGCTGGCCTCGGCCCCGCCGCCACCCGGCGCCGAGGGCAGGGACGTGCCGTCCGCCGAAGCCGAGCGGGGGGCGCTGCTCGATTTCCTTCTCCAAGCCCTGGGCGACGGCGAACGCCCGCTGCCGCCCCGCCCGCCGCGGCGGGACCGGGTGATCTCCCGGCGGTACATCGGCGGCGCCCCGTCGCCGGAACCCCGCTCTGTTGCCGTCGCCGCCGCCGCCCCCCGGCCGCCGCCGGCCGTCGCCCCTCCGCCTCCACGGCTCTTCGCCACCGCCCGACACGGAGGTAAGAGCCACCGCGCTGCCCTGCTGGGACTGCAGCCCCCTCCACCGCGTCCCGTCCCTGCTGCCTCCTCCAGCGGCTAAGCCCGATGGCTCCTCCGCCGGGGCAGCTCGCTGCAGGCGGGAGCGAGCGAGCGGAAAGCGGGACTAGGAGTACGCTCCCTGACCCTGAGGCGGCAGCCTCCCGGGGAGGTTTGGCCTGTGCCGATGTTGAGTCCCGCTGAGGGCAGAGCAACTCAGACCCACTCCCCGGCAGGAGTTCAGCTGTGGGGGTACCCGAAGCATGAGGGAGGAAAGGGTCACTCGGGCTTCTGCTGGGAGGTCAGTTGCAGCCACAGTAGGTCTATGCTCTGAGCAAGCCTCCCAACTTCCCGAGGTTCTGACACAGCCAGTCCTGAGGAAGCCCAGTTCTCGGGACTGCTCCTCTGATTTGCACAGAGGAAAAATGACTAATCTGAGAGACTGATGTCTGGACTTACTCCTTTAAACTTCCTCTTCAACTTGACTGGTTCCCATGTGATGCATTTTTCTAGTTTTGCTGGGGCAGGTGTGGGAGATCTGGGCTGTGCTGGGGCACGGGGACTTGTTTCACCTTCCAGAGGATGCTCAGGCTGGTGCAGGGAGCAATCTTCAGGTCTGGCAAAGACCAGGCCTGCCCGTGACAAGCAGGGGCAATTCAGGGCCAAGCACAGCTGGCTGGTGATACTCAGAGACTGTGCTTCTCCAGGAGACCGGGCAGTGGGTCACCTTTGCCACAGCTAGGTTTGGTGCAGAGCCAGACAAAACGTTTCCTACTGGAATGGAGCTGCCTGAGCAGTTTGTGTGGGTTAGGATGGTGCAGTTCAGGAAGAAGGAAATTATAGTGACTGTCTTTTGGCTGTAGACCACTAACATTTTTCTCCGGTTGCCTGCTAGAGACTATTGGAGAGAAACCAAGATGAGGGGAACTAGGGAAGTTTGGCTCCTTAGGGATTTGTATCCCTGGAGAATGCCCTTGTGGCTGATGGCTTGATGGCTGGTAATAGGTGAAGTCGAGTCACAAACACACCCCACACCCCCCCCCCCAGGTGACACTGATAGACTTGCTATTGTCTGTCCAGTGGTCTATTTCAAAGGAAATTAAACCCCATTTTGGAAAGAACTAAAAGTTGGGTGATAAGTTCAGAAATTAGTAGGTGAGTAACTGGAAAGGCAGGCACTTGGCAGTGAGATCACTGCATGGTTTAGGGGAACTGGACTAAAAAAAGACAAATACTGTAAAAAGTAATTAATGTTCTGGCCTTGGAAGCTTCTGCTGAGTACGATCTGCCCCTGGTACTGAGCAGTCCATCAGTAAGGGGTTGTAGTGTCCCAGTGAACTTCCAGATATTCTCACTTGTACAGAGCATGAAGACTCAGCTGGTTAATGAAAAACTGGATTGCCACAGGTTTTTTACTGCCTGGAAAAGATGCTGCTGGTCATCGACATGACCGGTCCTGAGTGATTGCTTACTGTAGCTCAAATTCTTTATGTTCTGTGAACATACCTTTAGTGTACCTTTCTCCAGGAAAAAAATATAAAAAGTTATTTTCAAGGCAGAATATATGAAGCCTTACATGTGTCTTCAAGAGTATGAAACGGTGTAAGCCTGAGAGCAACGGTTACTAGTGTCAGTTGTTTTGAGGGAAAAGCCTATTATGAACAACATTTGGGATGTTTATCCCTAACTAAATAATTATATGGAGCTATAAAATAGAAAGTGTAAATATGTATAGTAACATAGAATCATAGCATGGTTTGGGTTGGAAGGGACCTTAAAGATCATCCAGTTCCAGCCCCCCTGCCATGGGCAGGGATGCCTCCCACTAGACCAGGTGGAATATTATTTCATAATATCTATATAACTTTAAGTGGGATTTTTAAAAATTCATTAATATTAGACATAATAAGGCTTTGCTTTGTGTTGTGTTAATTTTTGTAACTATATTGTATACAAAAGGAGTGGGACTGCTGAGCATCCTTAGAGAAGTTATCCAGTTGTCCCTGGAGCGAGTGCAGTTCCTATGGACAGTCACAAAGATAGCTCTCTCTCCAGCCTAGAAAGGGCAGATCTAGAGCTTAAATAGCAGTCATGTTTTAGTATTCATTCAACTTTTGTAACAAACAGTACTTGTTGTGATGGTGTATGTTTGCTTTTTGGGTAGAGAACTTTGATGAGGCTTTTCTTACAAGTCCTCAACCCTTGTAACTCCTGTCACCAACACATTAACAGCAGCTTTTTACTGCAGCTGGCAGTACCTGACTCTCAGTTGAAGAGAATGGATCATCTTCCCCTCAGTCAGAAAAGGTATTACATTCAGCTAAGTACTCAGCCAAGCATTTTAAACCAGAATTATATATTTGGATTATCTGTTATTGCTAAGAATCAAATCCAAGTGCCTGATTTAAAAGAAAATTGAGCAACTTTAATATGTTTTTTTGTTTGTTTGAAACAAAAAGCATGCAGAACAGTGCTAGATATGGAATAATTTCTGTGTGTTTTCTCTTTTTACTTTTCTGAAGGTGCTACTTCATGTTATCAATGAGCCGAATGGCAGGAGGGCTGAAATGTGCTTCCCCCTCCTTTTCTTCTCTGTTTCCCTCACTCTCAGGGCTGGTTCCCACTTTACTCTAACCATATGATGAATTTATCAGACTCACTGAACTGTACCTCCTCACACCCCTTTCTTTTATTTTCTTTCTTCTGGGGCCTTGGTTAGCTATTTGCATAGTGAGAAGAGCTGGCCTGGAGTGCCACTGACTGAACCTTAGGAGCAGCACAAGGCAAGTGTCTGGAGCACAAGGTTTGAGAGTGGATGGGTCCTTCTCCTTTATTGCAGTAGGGTCCTGCTCATTTAGCTGAGGCCATAACAGCAGAGTACAGCATCACAGGGTGTCTTCAGTGAGGCTAGAAAAAGAAGGGTGAGACAGTAACTGTCAGCCATCCTACATGTACCACTCATTTACAGATACATAAATAAGATGTAAAAGCAAGAGTGGTTGCTCTGTGATGCCCAATCTAGATGTGTCTTGCAGGTGATTTGAGGGCAGGCACTGGGCTAGAGCTATGTTGAGGGAATAACAGCTGTTCTCTGTTTTACCTGGGTTCATTGTGGAGCAAAGGGGCATGACAGCCCTGCCATGGAGGGGCAGTGAGCTGCTGTGTCCTGCTTGGAAATGACTCTTTAGGTGTTTTTTTTTTCTCCCTTAATAATCAGGAATGTATTCCATGTTGTGTCCTTCTTGGTCACATGAAAATTGCATTGTATATCTTGTAGGACCCATGAGAGCACACACATATGCACTAAAGGCGTTAGTTTCACCATCACTACCTGTCTTAACGTCTTATCCCTTTTATCCCTACATGTTCAAAAGTCTTATCTCACACAGATCTGTCCCTGTTTTTCCTGGTGACCTGATTAATGAGACTGAGCACTTACACTAAGAGTATATTCAGAAGAAATAATGTATTCCAACTAACCAAAGAGCAATCTTCATCTTTTGCTACAATTTCTGTTAGGATGTCACTAAAAATAAAAGTTGTTCCTTTGAATTATTATATCCAGTGGGATTAAATTTTCTGTCACAACATCCTTTACTTGCCTGATTTCCATGAAGTTTCTATGCTTGAGTGTGGGGTTTTTTGCACTAAGAAGTGTCTCATTTTAAGCTTAGTGATGAAAGCTCCTCAATGGGCAATCTTTTTCATAATTATACCCCGCTTCTGATGTGTTAACTGTGGTCAGGTTTTTTTTATGAAGAACCCAAATATGTGTTTTCACCAAGAGAGGATTCAGCATCAGGTTATTTTTGAACGTCACATAGGGGGAACTAGAATAGTTTGTCATTCTTCTCAGATTTTCTTTGTTACATTTATCCAAACCACGGAACTGAAATAGCTTCCATATAATTAGATTTAAAGAAGTCTTGGGAAATAAAAAAGTCTGCATTAACTGTTCTTTCCTTATATATTCCTCACAACACTGGAGAAATGAGCTATCTAAACTTGCAAGGGGTAGGGGCCTGAAATTTGTCCTTGTGCTGGGAGACCAGCAAGACATTTTAAAACATTTTGATTAGTTATTTTTCAAGCATGAAGGAATGAAGATAAATATTCCTCTCAATTTACCACTATGTTCAAATTGGCCTCCTGAGCTTATCTACTGCAGATTTAAGATAACATGTCAGAGAAGAGAATTTGGCCCTCAAACTATTTAAACTTCGAGGTTAAGCTTAAGAGTGCAATTTTATGCCAAAATGTCTCACACATCAACAGAAGAAAACTGGAAGTTGTCCCATGACATGGTGCTAATTTAACCATTATTCATAATAAGCTGGCTTTGAAAGATAGATAGGTTTGTGGTTTATTTTACTTTCTGGTTGAATCAAAACCATGTAACCTTACGAAAGGCATAAGAAAAGTTTTATTCTTTTCACTCAAAAAAATCTGTAAGTATATTGTTAGTTACAGCTGGAAGTCCCTAATTCTCTAAGACCCGCTGTACCTAATGCTAAACTACTTCAGTGAATGTAATTATAGATCTGGAATAAAAAAAAGGAGACTCTTGAGGAGTGTAAACCTTGTCTCGAGGAAATTAAAATGTATGGCAAGGCATAAAACATAGTTTTTAGTAATACTTACGTCTTTTATGCCTTGTCCAATTTCCCATTGTTATCCCTATTAATAAAATAGCTTTTGGAGTTGTTTGTTTGTTTGTTTTATGTGTGTGGGGGCGAGTTGTTTTATTTTGTTTTGTTGTTCTTTTTGTGGCTTTTTTTTTTCTCTTTCATATATTTTTTTAATAGGAATTGCTGGTGATTCAGGAGACTTAAATGAAGATAAGAGTTAATAAAAATGTTGTTCTTCAAAATCATGTGTTTATCAAACCAGAAATTGCCTCGGAAATTGACAAAACAGTGTATGACATTGATTTAAAAGAAGTATAACTGCTGCATTAAAAATAAAATTAAATGTTATTGGCTTA